CCTGATTTTTGCTGTGAGTCTGATCCCATTCTCTGTCCCTTTGCGGTGGTGCAGACTATGGGACCTCATTTCATTGAAACCCTTAACAAAACCCCTATAACCAACAGAAAATAACCTATAACCAAAAAAAAAAAAACCCTCAGATCCCTCCAAATCATGGTGTTTGCTTCAAGTCTGACCCCATTTTGCTGTCCCTTTGTGGCGGTGCAACTACAGGGCCTCAAACCCTTAACAAAACCCTATAACCAACAGAAAACCCCTCAGATCCCACAAAATCCTGATGTTTCCTGCAGCTCTTCCTCATTTTCTGTCCCTTTGTAGTGATGAAGACTGCAGGGCCTCAAACCCTTACCAAAACCCTATAACCAACAGAAAACCCCTCAGATCCCTCAGAATCCTGATTTTTCGTGCAGCTCTGACCCCATTTTCTTTCCCTTTGTGGCGGTGCAACTGCAGGACCTCAAACCCTTAACAAACCTCTATAACCAACAGAAAACCCCTCAGATCTCCTAAAACCCTGATATTTCCTGCCAGTGTGACCCCATTTTCTGTCCCTTTGTGGCAGTGCAACTACAGGACCTCAAACCCTTAACAAACCCCTATAACCAACAGAAAACCCCTGAGACCTCCCAAAATCCTGATTTTTCCTGCAGCTCTGACCCCATTTTCTTTCCCTTTGTGGCGGTGCATCCACAGGACCTCAAACCCTTAACAAACCCCTATAACCAACAGAAAACCCCTGAGATCTCCCAAAATTTTGATTTTCCCCGCAATCCTGACCCCATTTTCTCCCCCCTTTGTGGTGGTGCATCCGCAGGACCTCAAACCCTTAACAAAACCCTATAACCAACAGAAAACCCCTCAGATCCCTCCAAATCTTGGTGTTTGCTTCAAGTCTGACCCCATTTTGCTGTCCCTTTGTGGCGGTGCAACTACAGGGCCTCAAACCCTTAGTAAAACCCTATAACCAACAGAAAACCCCTCAGATCCCTCAAAATCTTAATTTTTCCTGTGAGTCTGACCCCGTTTTCTCTCCCCTTTGTGGCGGTGCATCTGCAGGACCTCAAATCCTTAAAAAAACCCTATAACCACCAGAAAACCCCTCAGATCTCCCAAAATCCCGCTTTTCCCCCCAATGCTGACCCCGTTGCCCGTGTTTTCTCCCGGCAGCGGAGCCGGTGCGGCCGATCGACCCCGCGGCGTGGATCTCTCATACCACGGCCA